CGCGGAGGAGCGCGGGAGGAGCGGGGCGCTGCGGGCTCGCTGGGCTGAGGACGCTGAGGGTAGGGCGGCGGCCCTCAGCGCCACGGGCTCCCTCCACAGCTGAGCTCCTCAGGGGGAACCTGAGGCCAGAGGGGCGGGCCCCGGGGCGCGCGCGGGGACCCCCGGGGGATCCCTCAGGCCGGGCCTGGGGGCTGGCGCAGCCAGCTGAGGGGACCTATGGCGCGGGGCGGGCGGCCCGCAGTCCCGTCACCCCGCCCGCCCCAAGCCCTGGAGGCTCGCCCCGCCTCCCAGGCTGAGTCCTACTTTCAGCTCAAGGTCTGAAGCCAGGGCGAGCGCCAGAGCCAGGGCTGTGAGGGGTCGCCGGAGCGCACGTCAGGCGAGTGAAATAGCACTGCAGCACCGCCCAGGGGTCACAGTGCTTGGCGGGGTCGCACAGGGTTGGGGCGTGGCTATTTTGGGGCGTGGTTATGGGCGTGGCTTGGGCTAGGGCGTGGCTGGGTGGAATCAGTGGGTGGGGCAGGGCTGTAAGCACCGGGGCTCCCAGTCTCAGTGCACACACTCAGGTGTTCTGCCAGCGTGCTAGTAACAGCCTAGGACGCCCGACAAAGAACAAGAACCAAGAGCTGTGTTCCACTGTGAAACGTTATTTTTCCATTCAACCTCCGAACGTCCTTATGATGCAGTCCAGTCACTTTCATTTACTAACTAGAGGTCCCTGGGAAAATTATTTAATCCCTTATTATCAGTTTTTCTCATCTGTAAAATGGAAACGATAAAAGAAGTACCTGTGCCACTGGATATTGTAAGAAAGAAATGACATGAAGTGTGTACAGAGCCTACAATATATACTTAATAAATCTTGCTATTATTGTTGCTGTTTTTAAAAAGACAAGCCTTTTGTAGACAGCAGACATTTTGCAGCCTGGAATATCACAGCTTTCAATGGCAGAAATCAGTTGCTAAGATCTGAGAAAAAGCATACCAGAGCACAAGAATCCAAGGCTGGCTTGTTCTCTTGAGCTTTGCAGTCACCCCTAATAAATCTTGGAACACTAATGATATCCAACTTAAGGTTATTGAGAAAGTGCAGACTGCTTTCTGGGCATTTTAATGGACTTCCCCATTCACTTTTTAAACAACTTCACAAAGTAGTTATTAGTCTTCCCTCCTGGGAGACAGGGAATGGGTCTAGAGAAAACAGTATCCTGTTACAGGTCGTCTATGGAATGGTACAGACAAGATTCAAACTCAGCCCCCAGTTTTCCATCTCAGAGGATGATGTTACAATGGCTACCTACACAGACATCTAGGAGACATACTTGGTGCCACTTGGTCTATTTTAATGTTGACCCGTCAGCAAGCCCACCCCTCCACTTTCAAAAGTGATTTTAATCTCTTTTCTCTATTCCATCCCATGCTAGCCCAAGCCACCTCTCTCCTGGGAAAGCTCCAATAGCCTTCTATGTGGCTCTTTCAAATCTTTGAAAGCCCACTCAACATTGAAGTCAGAGGAGTCTTTAAAAAATAAGGATCAAATCACAGTACTTCCCACCTCCTCCTTTAAAGCCTTCCTGTTGTTTTAAAATAAAATTTAAACACCCATTCAACAATCGCAAGGTCCCAGTTAGTATTCCTCATACTTACTATTTTAGCTTCATTTCAGATAGGTGTGTTTACCTGAATAATAATCTTCGGTTTTGCAACCCTCTTTGTGTGAACCCATCCAAGAGGCTAGGAGAAACATGCCAATATGTTCTCATGACCACGTTTCTGTAAATTTTGAAGAAGATGTTTTCTGTGATTCTTTGACATTGATATCCCTTTCTACTCCATCTATCACGATAGCAATGGAGTACCTAAATGATGAAGCTAAGACAGGGTTAAGTCTATTTTTAATTTAGGTTTAGAGAGATCTATTTATGTGGTGCAGGATCACTTCCTTTTATGCTTAAATCTTTACTATCCATGTCAATCACAGGTAAGTGCTTATTCTACTGAGCCATCTCTCCGGCTCCTCAAGCACAAGAAAGAGTTCCAGGAAAATGGCTGCTGCCTGCAAGCTGATCCACCCTCATGCATGTGACTGAGGAGGCAGGGCCATAAATTTTATGCTACTGTCCAGCTTTAGTAGTACATACTTTGTATGAATGAATATGAAATAACAATGGATGAGTAAAACATATAACTTATAAACATCACTACAATAAAATATACAATTCATAAAATATTACCAATAATAAATTGGTTAATGTACTATCGACTCAAAGAATATTTGAAATTAATCACTATATAGCAAGAATGAGAAGTTGTATATAAAAAATGGAGAGATTTTCCCTCAATTTGATAATAATCCTAAAAATTTGCATTCATGAAGCTTTACAATGTACAGAATTATTTAACATTTACAACATACAGAATTACAAACTATTTATGGAAAATTCTTCCAGTCATCAGACATATTAAGTGTAAGTAAAGGATGGTTCTCATCGGATGTGAGGGTGATCTGGCTGCGACATCTGTCACCCCATTGATCGCCAGGGTTGATTCAGCTGATCTGGCTGGCTAGGCAGGTGTCCCCTTCCTCCCTCAATGATCCATGTGCGTCCCTCCTGAAGCTGTGCGCTCGGTTGAAGAGGATGACCACCCCCGATAGAGGAGGACCGTTCCTTGGTCAAGGGTATACGAGTAGCTGCGCTCCCCTGCTAGAACCTCCAAACAAGCTCTCAAGGATGGTTTATCAAAGCTCATGTAAGCCATGTTTTCCCTGGAATCTCCAGTGGTACAGCATATATAGATACAAATGCACTACATATTTTTTCTTCCCCTCTCACAGGAACTGCACAAGCCAGAACATATCAGTCTTGTGTCTAGTGCACAACCATATGGTAGTACTATAAAAAGCTACAGCCTCCATGTAGGAGGATGCATGCTGCAGGATCTCACTGTATTGGGTCAGGTCTTACTTGGTATATTTGTGTTAGTGATTTCTGGGACTTACAGCTGAAATGTCCTGTAGATCATAACAAAAGTAATAGTTTATTAAGAGGAACAGATATGTTTTGAAACAAAATGATGGATAAACTTTGGATCATTTGATAACCTAAAAGCAATTAATTACATAAATGAATTAGAAAATGTTTAATTTTCCATCCTGTTTTATATGAAATACTAACAATTGATGAGTAAAATATAGAACTTATAAAACATCACTACAATATAATACACAACTCTTAAAATATTACTAATAATAAATTGGTTAGTATATTGTCAACTCAAACTATATTTAAAATTAATCATTACAGAGCAAGAATTAGAGGTTGTATATAAAAAAATGAAGAGATTTTTTTCCCCAATTTGATAATAATCCTAAAAATTTACATGGCATGAAACTTTATAAGTTAAAGAATTATTTAATATACCCACTT